TGTTTAGAAATTACCTTGCACATCCTACGTGCAAATACGAAGTAGTACATGGAGGAAAAAGCAAACACTAAGTAAGAGCAGTTTGACTAGGTGAGGAAGTTGGGAACTAGAAAGATGGGATGTATGTCAAATAAGACAACAATTTAGATCTTCTAAGATAGGAAGACATGTGCCGTTCAAAGAATTTAGGAATAGGAACATCCTTTAGTTGGGACACTAGGGATGATAAAGCGATTTGATGAGAAATATGTCTGCTTTAGCTGCTTCCTACATACTCCTGCTCTACCGGGGACTAACCCAAGTAGATAATGGAAATTGGTATTGACAACAGGGATTCTACTTTAAAAACACACACACTTTGCTTATGAAGAACTTAAAGGAAATAACTGGCATCAGTCACTCAAGAGTCTGTTGCACTTGAGTGCAATATAGTTATTTCATACACATGTCTATCTCTCCAATAATTTAAATATTTCTTAAAGCAGAAAAGGAATATCATTTTTTTTACTAAGTATCTTGCTTAGTGGCTAATACAAGGTGGCATTCAAAAGTGTTTATGAAATAAATTATTGGACACATGGGAATGTATAAATATCATCCCCATGGAGTGAATTCTTTTTTTTTTTTAAAGATTTATTTATTTATTTATTTATTTATATAAGCACTGAGTACAGTCAGAAGCACAGGAGGTTGAGAGGATTCACCAGAGCCAGAGCGGAGAACAGAACAGGCAGACTGATGAAGTACACTGCTGAGGGGAGCAGCGGGCGGCAAGAGAGGTCTGTTGCACCATGTGGGACCCTCGCCCGGGGATCGAACTGGCGCTGCAGAGGCTGCAGGCAGCCTCGCAACCCAGCGCTCAACTGCTGCACCAGCGGGGAGGCCTACCATGGAGTGAATTCTAAGAAATGATTCTTCCTTGATCTGACATCTGGAAGGACAAATTAAAGAATGAATGAATGAGAAGAAAATTTCTTAGTTTCTTCCTTGAGGACTGATCATACACACAGGACACATACAGGCAAAAAATGTCTAAATTTGTGTGAATGTGCACTTTTAGCTAGGGAGGGTACTAAAAGCATGGTCCTTCAAGATGCAGCATTCAAGAGAAGCTGGTTTAATAGCAACTCATGGATCCAGAAGATGAAAGCAGGAATGCAGGAACAGAGCTGGCCACATGCAGATAAACAAGAATATTTCAGAAACTACAAAGAGCAGATACCCATTTAAGCCAACCATTTACACACAGCTGGGCAGCAACTACTGTAGGGGACCAAACCAGACGGTCATGTGAAAACTGGCCATAACTCATGCTAACTCAGGCCTCTATCTGCACAAGAGCTTTCAATGTTCTTCCCATCAAGACACACATAGAAAATGATCATGTAGCCATTAACGAGAAATGGTTGGAAGCTCTGCTGCAATAGATGATGAAAATCCAGGCTAATCAAGGAGACAACCAAGAGTAGACAAGGGGAAGATGATGTTATATAAAGGGGTTTTGATGTGATTTTTTAGGAATTCATCACATCTGAAGATTTTTAATCAAGGCATCTGATTTTTATTTTGAGGCATTCGGGTAGTCTCTTGAAGAATGAAGTTGAGGGGACAAGTTTGGAGCAAGAGGGATAAGTGAGAGAAATGATAAAGATCTGAACTCAAAGGCTGAAAAGAAAAAGGTACAAAAAAGAGAAAATTTTTAGAAAAAAACAATGGAAAAGGGAGGCACTCAATCATCTTCTAAGCGCCCACCCTATTTGATGAAATACGGTCCTATATTTTCTAACACTAAAAGTTATAAAAACATGCGTTTCACAAGTAGAATATAACATTAATGCTATTTTGAACATTTCATTTTAAAGTACCAATTGCAAGTGAAAATATTGAAAAGCAAATGTGTATTTCTTTGAGCTCATGGAAGAAGTCAAGACAGGAGGGATGAAGTAGAAATCCTTAGTTTACTAAAGGTTGTAACTCAAAATCATGGAACTGCATAAAATCACATAAGGTGCTCAGCACTAACTTCCCATCAAAATACCCTACGAGGTTGAAATACTGTTGCTACCCAGGGACCATTCACAGTCAAGGAGTCAGAATCTCTGATCTAAAACATTGTTTCTACTATTTATTATTTGCTTAATCTCCCTGCGATTTTAATTAGCAACCAAAGTTAAGAATTGCTGAATAGGTCCAAGACATTTGGTGATGGGGTGGGGCCAGTCTTATTTGAATAAGAGTAGAGATTCTCAAAATGAACATTTGATTTCATTTGTCTTTCCCCTGGTCCCTTATTTAGGTTTTCTAAATTCCTGCTATGAGTGAGACCATCCGGTACTTTTCTTTTTAATTCTGGCTTATTTCGCTGAGCATGATTCCTTCCAGCGCCATCCATGTTGCTGCAAATGGCATGTGTTTATCTTTTTTGATTGCTGAGTAATATTCCATGGTGTATATGGACCACATCTTCTTGATCCAGTCATCTATTTTTGGGCATTTGGGTTGTTTCCAAAGCTTAGCTATTGTATGTTCAACATCACTTGTAATCAGGGAAATGCAAATCAAAACTACCATGAGATACCATCTCACACCAGTGAGAATGGCACATATTAAAAAAACTAGCAACAACAAATGTTGGCGAGGGTGTGGAGAAAAAGGAACTCTCCTGCACTGCTGGTGGGAGTGCAGACTGGTCCAACCACTATGGAGAGCTGTGTGGAGATTTCTTAAATGCTTTTCAAGGTCTTTCTCAGGTGACTTTTCATTTTCCCAAAAGATGCTCTTTAAAGCTTTACAGTGCTGGGCCTCCCCGGTGGCGCAGCAGTTGAGCGCTGGGCTGCAAAGCTGCCTGCAGCCTCTGTAGCACAGTTTCGATCCCTGGCCGCCAGTGAGGGTCCCACATGGCACGCAGGCCTCTCCTGCCTCCTGCTGCTCCCCTCAGCAGTGTATTTCGTCAATCTGCCTGTTCTGTTCCCCGCTCTGGCTCTGGTGAATTTTCTCACCCTCCTGCACTTCTGACTGTACCCAGTGCTTGTATAAATAAATAAGTAAATCTTCAAAAAAAAAAAAAAGCTTTACCCTGTAAAGAGCTCTGATTGACATGTAAGCAATGCACAGCTCTCAAGTGAGTAACTCAGACTATTCAAAAACATTTCAGTCTAGAAAGTTCTTGTCCGTTATTATGGTCAGTTTGTTTCAAACGCTCCTCAGAAGGAATTTGCTGCAGATGTGTGTCCCCTGACCACCAGGTGCCGGCGATCAGGTGTTTGTTGTTCTGGCCATGACCTTCGGCATAGCCCAGGTGCCAGTCACCGCTCTCGGCAGAACTAGAAATAAGCAGTCAGATATTCCCAGGTAAGACAGGCCTTGCCTTTCCCATTCTGTTCATGGTGCTTGTCTGGGACCATAAAGTATGTGAGTCTTGGATACACCTGGCTTTTAAAAAATCTGTATAGGGCGGTGAGGGGAGGGCAGCAGGGTGTGAGGCGGCACCACTGTGCTCGGACAGGCCACCAATCTCTGCCTGTGGCTCCGCCAAGCCACCTGCCTCCTCTGCTCTTCAGTTCACTCACGTGTAAAAAGGGGTCATGATGGAACTTACTTCCTAGAGTGATCAGAAGAACCACATGAGACATCCTCACAGAGTAACACTTATTAATATTATTACTATTATTTTTGTAGTAGTTGTTGCAGTAGTGCTTTTGTTGTTATTTACCCGAGTGCTTTTACCACAGATCACCCACCAGGAAGGACTTATCTCACTGTTTTGGGGTAAAACATGAATTGCTTGTGTCTCACTTAGCATCTTCAAAGCTGATACCCAGTTTCTGGCTCTGATCCCTGCCTCCAGCTGCATGCTTCCTTCATTCGGATGTCTCTCCTGCGTCAACCAAGACTAGACCCTGCCTATTTTTCACATCTTCACTGTTATGTCAGTGAGGTGCCTTCCTTCTAACGTGAAATTAGCTAGGCTCAGCAGGTTGAGATGCCCTAAGCTTTTACAATACTTTACTCTCTCCCGCTCCTCTTATTTAGAGTGTAGAGTCAGTCTCAGGCAGACACTGCCTGGTGGCTGGGGACCAGCGGAGCTTAGAGTAAGGCTGCTGGGGACCACGAGGGCCGGGGCTTCCTGGGGAGAGGAACCATGTTTGCCAGGTGTCCTGGCCGGCTTCCAAGTTTGGCTCAGTGAATTTTACCTCCTGAAATTCCCCCCTGTCTGTTCAATTGGATATGGTGTTCCTCTTGGCTTCCCGTCCCAAACCGAGGTCTGTGGGACTGTGGCGCACTGCACGGCAGCTGCTGCATTCCTCCACCGAGGTGCTGCGTGCCCCGTGCAGTGTGGGGCCCAGCAAGGGGCCCACGAGCAGCTTGGGCAAGGTATCAGTTTGCAGAATATTTGGGGAGCCTGTGGGATGAAGGCCGCTAGGCAGCGCAGGGATGCCGTAGTGGTGACATGTGCTGATTCATTTGCTGTCTCTAGAAATGTCAGGGGCCTTAGCCATGTGGACCGAAGCCCGTGCTCTTGCTTGTTCTGCCAGCCTGAGAGCAGGGCGAGAGGCCTGGCTTCGTGGAGCTCACAGTGGGATGCTCTGATTGACAGGAGTGGGGACACCAGGGCTGTGTTTCAGCTGCTCTGCCTCGCCAGGTGGGAGAGGCCTCCCATGCACCCGTGCTCAGAGAGGGTGATAGGGGCGTCTAGGAACTCTAGCCCATTGGATTACCTTGCATTTCAGAATTTATATTTTTTGGTGGAATGCTAATGATCCATCAACAGGAGGGATGAGACCAGCGCAGTCATGACAACAATGAAATCTTACACACTGACAGTGAAATCAAAGCACTTGCCCTGGGTGAGCCTTCCTTGCTGCAGACAGGGAGGGACAGAGAAAAACCATTTGGGATATCTGATTTTATGACAACAACCTGGGCTCTACTTATTTTCAAAAAAATAAAAAAAGAACCTAAAAATATCAACTTCAAGTCCTGGGAATAAGAGAGTGTACCTTCTGGAACTCTCAGGCCTTGAAATCATTCAGAGACTGTCCCTTCCCCAACTGCTTCACACATTTCAGAGTGTAGCCTGGGATTTCAAGATTAATGCCTTAGTGGTTGTAGAAGAAACCATCTGGTGATTACTTGTCACTCATATGACCGTGGAGACTCGGTTTGGGAAACTGGACCTAATTTGCTCCAATGAAGTCAGTCAAGGACTTGAACTTGAACCACAAATATATGAAAAGTGCTGGAGCTACATAGATGTATTTTCTCTCTTCTTTCAACATCCTTTCCTTTCCTGCATAGCCTTCACGCTTCTTTCTTCCTGTTTTAACATTTTGTTCCATGTACTTTATTTCACCCCAATTTCATGGCTGAGAAAGCAGAAAACAGTACTTCAGGAAGATAGTGAACTACTCTTGGTCCCCAAACCAACCCTATAGAAATCACAGAAGTCAAAGACACTAACTTAAAAACTGCTCAACATCCCTGAAGAGCACCAAGACAGAGCACCAGGGGACAGAGCGAATCTGTCAGTCCTGAGAAAACAATGACATTCAGGTCAGTCCCCAAAGCCCTGTGGTGAGAGCCTGGAGAGTGGACAGTCACCCCATTAACCCCTTCCTTTCCAAACCTTCAGGACTGACAGTCAACATCTGAGGAAACTACTACTTCCCAGCATTGCTTCTTGTGCCCACTCCCATAAGCCTGACCACTTGCTTCTCTCCCCAGAATTCTTGGCTCCTATTTTTCAGTTTTCTCCTTCCAGACTGGACCAACCACTATTTTTGTCACAGCTCAACAGTCCATGAAGAGTTATACCTCAGGCCATTCTCCTTCCATATAAATTGAGTTATCAAGTGTCTTGTTTGCAGTTTTCCTCACCAGGGAAATTTCCCTCATCATTATTTTCAAGAGCTTCCCCTGAGTACATTAGTGTGGCAATAATTTGCTTCTAGTATTATGTTCAACTCACCTGTGCACCAGGCCTGGGTGTCCTGTCCCATTTCAACTGGCTGTAGAGACCAGCGTCACCAGTGACACAGGCTGTGTCGAGGAAGAAGAGTCTGTGTGTTCCTTGACCATCGAACCATCTGTCCATGCAATTCCTTGTACCTCTTGACTCTCTCTGACTTAATCCTGTATATTCCATTTCCATTTCACGATGGATTCCTTCTACTCTTTCTTGATCAAGGTGGTGGATCTGAAGAGAGCAAAAACTGGTCACATATTCACATGCTATCCCATGTTATTCACATGCTATCCCCTCAGCCTACTGGGACCTAAGGGTGCAGATCATGTCCACAGCAGACATGATTTGTTCTGGAATTTTAGAAGCCTGCCCTGAAGATTTCCTTGTGCCTGCTATTGGAGTTTCTACACTGCACCTTCATCCAGTACCCTACCCACTCAGATCCCTCTTCCTAGTGTCTGTTAGATCACATGCAAGAGAAACTGATGCAAACTTTTTTTCTTTTTCTGGGTCATACTCAAAACTAATACCCTTCTGAGTTACCTGGTAAGTAGATGAAACATTATTCCCAACTATGCTATATGCCACCCTCCAGTTTGATAGAGGACCACCATGCACTGTGCCCCTTTCTTAGGGGTGAAGGCCCAAGGTATAGTAAATCTTTGCCATAGAGAGAATGTCTCCGCATGCCTCATGCCACTGCACCCCTAACAACTCCACCAATGCTGATGGCTCCTGAATTCTCATGAGGTTATTTCTTCCCCTCTGACTTACACATGTCTCTTTAGGCATCTATCTCCCACTCTCCACATTCCATACTCATTCTCACAGTGACTTATGGCGATGCAAGCAAAGGTCTCCCCACCGCTAATGTTGAACAAACTTACAAAACAATTTAATGATTTATAATCTTGAGTTTTCCAGAGTTTGGGGAATTGTCACTCCTAAGCATTGATAGTGAAACTGTAAGTTGGTACATTTCTACAGGCAGTATAACAATTTCTCTATTGATGTCTATAATGTGTAAAAATATATGTAAATATATGTATAGGTATAACTTACAACACATAAATACGTTAACTTAAATAATGTATGTGTGTATGTAACATAACTATCACATCTGTAAAACCTCTTATCAATCATCTCATTTCTTCATCTTTATCCTAAAGAAATGTGAGGACAAGGAAACACAGATAAGAGCACTTTGACTGTAGAACTGTATAAAAAAGATTAAAAAAAGAAGACTAAATGCCATCTAGCAAGGACTCACAAATAATTTATCACACATAATCTCATACAGTGAAATAGCATGTCCCCACAGAAAATTATAATGTAGAATTATTTTGACATGCTGTAGAATAAAATAAATATGATTTTATAAAAATACTACTTCCTTTGGAAGGTGATCCCTGACTCCTTACATTAAATAAAATTCCTTGCAATCTATATAAGCCCTGAATTTCCCATATGCAACACTAACTTCTCATTCAAATTCTTGTTGCTATCTCATTCAAATATCTCTTTCTACACCAAAACAGCAAGCTCTAAGATGGGTTGTTTTTCTCTGCGTCTCGGTTTTTAGAACTGTGCATATTGCGTTCAGTGAAATGGATGTGGCTTTAATAGTGTCTTCTCATTTCCATAAAACATGTCTGCATATTTACACATTTGCCTGGAGCCACGCCTGGAGGGATGTGCCCTGACGAGTAAGCAAAGCTTTCTCTGCGAGATAGATTTTGAGTAATTGCTATTTTCTTCTTTATATTCTTATGTGGTTTATGAAAGTTCACTCATGTGGCAAATACAGAGAAACAAAACAGAGGAACTGACAAAATTAAATGAAAACAAACCCCAGAAATCCAACTGCAGAATTGAGGCTACTAGAAGGGGAGGGGAGGTAGGGGACAAAGAGGGGGCACTGGCCTAGGGTAAAGGATTGTGGGTGCTTTGATGGTGGGGATGGGATGATGACATACACCTGAGAACATGTGACCTGGTGCCCCATGTCATAGCCAATGCTGTAAATGAATGTTACTTCAAGAAAGAAAAACAAATAAGTACAATTAAGTCTGAACCGTTTTCCACAAAACAATTAAAATCAATTATTTGTCTTTTACGGAACATTTGGTATTTTTGATGCGATGGATGTTAGTGCTTTTCTCATAATAAAATACATTTAGTGTGATCCAACATTTAGCACAATCCAAGACATTGTACTTTCTTTCTCTCCCACACATGTGGCTACTTGATATGAGACCAAAACAATCACAGGAGGAAATAGTAAGTCTTGGGAGATGACTCCTCTTGCTCCCGCACTGTCACAGCCAGCTCAGCTGAGCGATTTTCTGAGTTGGCCGCTGAGTCAACAAAAGGGCGAGCAGAGCTCATGTGCTCCTTATGGAAAAGTCCATTGCCTTAAGATCCCAACCCAGACCCAAGCTCTGCAGCTCTGCCTCTTCCTCATACCTATTGCACATTCATATCTGCAGCGTAGAATTTAAGTGGCCATATCAGTAGGACAAGCTGGCTCAGGTGCAGTTACAGCTCCCAGACCAGGCACTTAACACAAGGGCTGAATTTTCTTTCTCAAGACACGTCCATCACATTGACTAAGCTCTTTGCGTCCTCTCACTCTGGGACAAGAAAGATGGAGCAGCCTCTCTCTGGAGCACTGGTTTTCACCCCCAAGAGAGGGAAAGGCAGAGGTGGCATATTGTACCCAGCTCCTAAAAAAATCCCTGGAAATAATATTCTACTAAAATCTTATTAGTTAAAATGTTTGGAAAGCTCAAAAGGAGAACGAAAAATATTTTGCTTTTTGGCAATAACTATCACAGCAGTAGCATTTTATACACTCAAATTTCAATTCAACCACCTTATTTCTAGATCGTGTGAAAATATCTATTCAAATAATTTCCTGCAGGCTTACATTAGGGTTTAAGGATGCTGCCTGCTAAGGATATGGGATTTGGTAGCTGCACAGTCTTTAATAACACTAACTTTATCACACATGATCGAAGAACTTCATAGATCTTTTCAAAGCAGTTGAGAACACTTAGTTATAAACACAGAACTTGGAAAGAAACATAAAAACCTCTGCTTCATACCTTCTTTAAAGTGAAACTGCCAAAGAGCAGGACAAAGAGGTCTGAATAGATACACACATTGGTAAAATACTGCCAAGAGTCCACCATCCCTTCCTGGCAGGTATGTGTAATGGGGCAAATCTGTGCCCTCCTTGCTGGCAGCCCCCACATCGTCACTTGGGCAGAACCCCATCTGAACATTCTCTGTCCATCTTAGGCATCAAATGAGAGGGCAGGAGACCAAGTCCTCCCTGGCTCTTCAAGAACAAAAGCTGTAAGATGATTGAATATTTTCTTGGGACTCCAGATCAGGCCCAAACCATATATGAGGATGCAACTTCATCTGGGGCACAGTCATGGCCATGGATCCCAAGAGTGGAGCAGCTAGGTTTTCAGTCTGTGGAAATTATATCGTTCCATTCAACATTCTGCTGGGACATTGAACACACCCCTGTATGTGATTACATGTCCCCTACTCTTCCCAAAGGCTGGTGCATGTGTCTGCTAGCTGGGGGCAGATGGGAGGCGTGGGCAGTGCTGTATGTGGTGAGGTTATGGTTCTGTCAGGGATATAATGAGATACACTGAGTTTATTCATGCGCTTGATTACCTGGCCAGTTTGAACGGGTATTTATGTAGCCCACAAGAACAGTGGGGAAGCTCTGTGGCCCCAGAGTCGGGATTTAACCTGTTTTGCCCTCAGTGCAGCCAGCGGGGCACCATCATCTGTCACCATCAGAAGCTTGCTCTAAACTCACAAATGGCCGTGTAGCTTCTTGACCTGTTGACCACGACCAACTGTTGTTTCTTTGGGACAGAACGTTCTTCTCTTTCAAACCACATGAGCATGAACTACCAATGGCTGCTCCGAGGATTTTAATGGGGACAGTAAGCCCTGTAATTACTATTCTGGAGTGCTGTCAGCCATCTTCTCTCTTGCCAAGTTGACTAAAGGTCACTTAATTTTTCTTCATTAAAACATGAAGTGTCCCGGAAAATTTTGAAATTGTTGCTAAATGAAAACCAGTCAAAAAACTGAGGCCAAAAATTGTTGGCAACGCTCACGCTAAATTATGCAGTCTGCACATTGCAGGCAGCCTGTGGGTCCTGAGGCTGTCGCAAATAACAGGGGAATGTCACTGCTGCTCCCAACAGGAAGGGCCTCTGCCCCAGCAGTCTGGGCCCTGGGCCATGGCTGAACCTTACCGCCACTCCCAAGGAATGCTTTCTGTTTCACCCACACATGAAACTGTTACATATTCAAGGACAAATATTTATGAAGTCGTTTTTTCTAAGCATGAGACAGGCGGACTCTTCACAGGTCTATGAACTCTACCTTTGTTGCTCAGAATTTTCAGTGGGGAAGGTTATGCTTGGGGTCAGTCCTCCCACATAGGGCTCCTGCTTATTTTCCCGGGGCTCCCGGTACACAGTGCCCAGATGCTGCCACAAGCTCAGCGTTGCACTTCGAGCAGAGCCTCCCTGCAATGCTCACGCTTTCCTTCTATCCATCTTCCTCTTCCCAGGGCCTGGCCTCACAGCTCAGGGACATGCCATGATGGAGCAACATTTTCCACTAGACCTTAACCCAGGCTGGTAGCTCAAAGTGAGTAGTGGTTTACTTCAATGACACATTCGCATGGTATCAGTTTTTTAATACCTTTAATACTAAAGGAATGACAAACTGTTGGAATTCTGGGACAAAGAATGTAGAGACTTTGAGGCTTGGCATGGAAGGGGGGTTTGAAGACACTTGGATGAAACCACACAGGTGGCTGATTCTGGCCCCCAACTTTCAGGTTGACCTTCCAAATAGGTGAGGTTTATTAAGTAGAGCAAGACTCTGTTCTCAGGCACACTTTCCAATTGTGAGCACGCTTGGGGCACCTGACTTTTCTGAATTGTTTCACGCACTGCACCATTATACTGCCACAGAGCACTAGCACAGAGCTTCTCCTGCACTGTGCTGTACTGGCTGAGGTGACAGACACTTGAATTGCACAGTTAAGGAAAGAACTAGACATTGCCTGAACCAAGAAAGACTCTGGGGCCATTGTAGTGTTTTGTTTTCTGTGATGCTACCCACAGATTTCCCTTTGGTCTGTATAATGTCAGGTCCGAGGAAACTGGCTCAGAAAAGTCCTC